TCTCTATCCACTGCTACTGTTGAAAGGCCCCGGTGTTGAGATGTTCTCAGATTCTACACAGTCCTGAACGACAAAAGGACCTTGCGCCTGTTTGATCTGCTGTTCAAATCTCCTTACACGATTGCAATGACCGATAGGCTGCTTGTTCTGACTATGTTCTGACCTTGTAAGTACCCAATGTCTGAAAAGCTGGCTTTTTGGGTTTCTACTGCCAAACTTACATCTCGCATCGATCCCCGGTCGCAAATCCGCAGCCGCCCGCCCATTCTCGACGCATCGATGCAAAAAAGCCGCCCGGCACCTCGCGGAGAGCCTGATCAAAGTCTGCTTGCATCTCCTGAGCCTGGTGGATTGAGCCGCAGCCAGAGCAGTGGAGCAGGACAGGGGAGTTTGAAACATGATATAGATCATGACTGAAAAAGTACCCATCAGCGAAGTTCATTCAAATCATCTTTCCAACACGCCTAAGTTGTCGATGTACGCTTGTGCCGCATTGTTCTACTGGAATCAACAAACCGGCATATGTGGCAACCATTAATGCACTAGCTGACGCTGTCATGAATGTCTACCTGACTTTGTGTCTTGTGACTTGTGTATTCGTTTGCAAAGTACATTCCACATCTGCGCTAGTGGCCTGCTCCTTGAGGGCTGTCTGCATGAAGTTTCTCTTGGCTTCCTCCACCTTCGCCTGCATCAAGGCGGCATGTCCCGGCCCTGGTGTCCATGAACCTCGGTCTAGACAGTCCAGGAGTCGGGAACTCCAGCATCCAAGGGATGCCCTCACACGCCCCAAACGGTGATGACCTCGCAAGTTCAGTCGGGCCCTGACATGGTACGCAGAGTAGGAGAACAAAGTGTTCACACCACCGACTCGGAACTTCCTCGCCGCATCGAAAACCAGTGTCGGTTGCTCAACACCATTTGGTTCAGTCATGTTGCTTGTTGCGCTACCACCATGTTGCTCTTTGCTGTGAGCTTTGTCGAAAGGAAAAGGGCTATGGAGCAACTGATGTGCTCGCGCCGCCACGCCTGCTCAGCACCTGGCGTCATGGTAGGCTTCATTAATGAACATTCATGAGACTTTCCCACGAAATCGTGCAAAGAAGAGCTTCCTCCAACCCACTAACAATGGCCTCCACCCTAATAACAATGGCCTCCACCCCAAGAGCAATGGCCTCCAACCTATTAGCATGCAAAGATCTGTCCAACCGCCAAAACATCTCGAGGGCCAAAACTAGCACACAGTGAGCACCTTGAAGCCTCCAGTCCAGGGTCTGACCTCGTCTATCCTCCATTGTGCACTCCATTTGCAATGTCTTGCTCTCAAGGCACAACACACGGTGATCACCTCCACATAATCACCCGTGGCTGCTCAGTGGTGATTCCCATTGGCCCGAAGGCGAAAGAATATTCCTTCAACCACCACAGGATCTTTGGCCAACCACCACGGCAGAGATTCCTTCAACAATTCAACCACCACAATGATGATGGGACTACAGTGGCGAGACAAAAGCATAAACCTCCCTTCTCCCAGCATCCATAAGATACACCCCTCACAGGCACGGAAGTGGAAAGCCTCCGAGACGAAGAACCCCCACGTCGTTTTTTTCAACATGGAGAGCCCTTTCCACTTCCATGTGGTGATTCATTAGTACAAAGGGCATCGCTACGAACGGAGCGCTCGGACGCTACGAACGGAACAAGAATCGACATGACATGATCATGTTGGCCAAAGACTCGCCACATTGCCCCGTGCCAAACGCGCCACATCGCCGCACGCCGCGACGCCACGGAAATCGCTTTCTTTCGGGTGCACTTTGAAGCTGAAGCTTCTCGCAGCCAGCACGGAGTTGCGCCAACTGACCGCGGACGGTGGAGGCGACAGGTGGAGGCGACAGGTCACCATCAGTGTTGAACAAAATGCTGTTTATGGAGTTTCACTGGAGTTCCAGGATGTTCCAGTACTCTGCCAAGAGACATAGGATTTGTTTTATGGATTTTAGATGACGTTAGGATCCCAAGGGCAAACGAGGTTAGTTTCGCCAAAGAAAATCAACCTCAGAAAATATCACAACATATCACAAAAACCAGAGCCACTGGCCCAACAGAGCCTTTGGGAAATTGTTGACCAGTCTTGCGTTGTTGAAGACTTCATCATCCATGTTTTTTCACCATCCGCACCGGTTGTTGACCGATGGACCGTCCAACATCCAAGATCCTTGGGGGAGCGGTTCTCCTCCATCATCGGAGCGTGTTTAGGCCCACAAGGATCCCAAACTGAGTGACGACTCACAAAATCATGTTCTGACATCTGGTCTTCATGTGACAACGTCTCCCACAGCTTTCCAGCTTTCCTCGTCCCGGCGCTGCTATGCAGCATCCAACAAAAGCCAACTGTGTACTTTCCAAACGAGGCTGTCTATGCCAGGGGTGAGTTTGCCAGGACATTGTGGCCAACATTTCTCCAATCCTGGTGTGGCTTTTACGGAGTTGCCCAGTAAATGAGTTCAAGGAGAGTCGTAAATGAGTTCACCTTCAAGGTTTCTTTGTTTGCTCCGGTCGAAGGTCTATGATCCAGGCTGCGAATAAAAGGGGTGCAGAAGGTGAAAGACAAAAGGCAAAAAGAAGGATAAATTGTGCATGCAAAAGAAACGAACTCCAGAATCAGAACATACTCGCCGAATACTCGCTCAGAAGTCCAAATTGAAAACAAGCACATTGCAAGCAATACGAGAAGCCGGGACAGGTACATCAAGTATCCGCCAATCAAATCCCAAGGGAGGTCGATTCCCTTGGTACCCCCCTGCTCGAGCCTCTGCTCTGCTGCGCTCGGCCTAAAAGAGATGGAGATACATTCTGAAACCGCGTTGTCAGAATCTAGACATGGTGCCTCCTGCATGTTGTTTCCTTTTTCGGTCACCGTCGTGATATGGCATGGAATGACCACTATTCTATCAACCAACTCGTACATACTATACTACACTATACCAATACAACTGGTATGGGATAGTGTGCTATACTGGTTTATACTATGACCGACTGGTGTTCCACTGTAGTATTAAACACCAAACAGAAGGGAACATGAAACATCAGGGACCTTTCGTCCTCGACGCTTGCATCTCGCCTCGCTCCGCCATTGGCCCATCTGTCGTTGAGCTTCGGAGACCTGCGATGGTCGTGGACCATGGCTGTGCAACGTCTGATGTCTTGAAAACGCAGAATCATAGAGAAAGAGTTGTGGCATGTGTTTGTTCATTTTACTTGTACTTGTACTTCTAATATACTACTTCTTGTGTCTTGTTGTATTGATTGGTCCAGTACCTCTCTTGGATCTACGAATCTACATAACGGATATATAATAACGAGCTTTTCTGGGCCCAACCAAATACCATTGGGGTATCCAGTTGTCATATCTGCACATACAAATGAAACAAACATCTTGTAAAAATGAAAGGGGTCACTCTGCAGCCTCCTCTACAACAGCAGCGTCGCGCCATCGTTGCTGCGCCTGGCTCGATGCAAACACGCCGAAAATTGGTGAGCCGTTCTGGAAGCGAATGGATAGAAGTTTGGAAGAGAACCGAAAGCCAAGAATTCGTCTACTTAGAGATTTTTATTTGTTGTCATGTATGTCAAATATACCTGGTCTGTCAAGGGCTCTTTGTAGGTTTGGTTTGACCGACACCAAACAAAACAAGCCAAGGACGTCTCAAATGGTGAATCGCTTGATGAGCTTCTTTGTAGGTCTTTGGAGAACAGTGGTCAACACCTGTCTTCAGCCCATCTACTCAGATCCGTCGCTTGGAGTTTCATTCCTAGGATAATTTGTTGTTTTGGCTCACCATGTTGTTTCAATGAATTTAGAAGGATTCATAATCCCTTTTCAGATCCCAAACTCCCACGTCCCACCATCCAACCTGACTGAGGTCCACTGGAGGAGGAACCCATCGAGATGAAGTATCCTCGGTTGGTGCAGCTACCCGGGGTCCGGTGGGTCGAGGGTTGGAAACGATTCTAAGACAGCTTTGGGGTAGATGTGAAAGGAGCCCAAAGGCCTGGCACCCTGTACCAATGTCCTGCTTGTTTTGCTAGGTTCGGGGTATCCCTATAAATGTGAAATGATGTTAGGAAATTGCTGGATCTGGATGAGGGTGAAAATCGTCACCACACCTTTCGGGGTCAGCCGAATAGACCCTATCCCGTAGGGTCCAAGCATTGGATCCTAGCGATGGTACCAGGTTTGTGGTCAATCAACTGGCTCTATAGGAATAGGAACTCCAAAAAGCACAAACCCATATCATATCAGATTGTACACATTTACATGAACTGGTGATTTCGATGATTATCGATATGTGAGGAGAACAAATCCACCTTTTGTAGATTGGTCAGCAAGCGAATGGTCTAGTTTGGTTTGATCCATCTGATAGATATGCAGCTATGCATCTATTTGTGCATTGAAACAAACTATCTCTCTCTCTCTCTCTCTCCATGCTGGTGCAAGGCCGCCCACACTATGCTCCAACCACGCTCTTTCTTTTCACACGCTTGAGCTCCCTTGTGCAGCTTTCAAGCAGCTGAGAAATGACTTAACAACGGGTCAAGACCAGCGAAGCGGCGCCATTCAAAAGGAATGATGAAATAAGGAACTCAATATCTGGACATAGATCTAAACGGTCCCAGTAACATGATCTACTAGCCGTGAGATCCCCTAAGCTGTGCTTTGACCCGTCCAAAGCCCCACCCCGCTCTTCTATTCTAAAGGAACTCTGCCATTCGCCAGGAATTGAGCCGCCTAGCAGGAGGAGGCGTCTCGTCATGTTCCACCACTGGGTGTCAAAACAAGAAGAGTAGTTCACCCAGTCGACCAACCAGTGATGCAGAAGGGTCTTGAAAGCCAAGGTGGAGATGGGGTTGGTAGTGACTTAGTAGTGTCTGCCAGCTTGGCCCAATTCTGTCTTATATAACCAGCATGAGAAATTATGACTGAGATACTCGGATGGGCCAAGGGCATCCAATACTCAGTGCGCCATGAGATCGATCCGAGCGGGGGATCGAACCAATCAGCTCAGCAGCTCGTTGAGCAGGTTCTAGTCTCATGAATCTGATCAGCTTCCAGTGACAAGGTCAGGGACTGGGCTCGGCTTCGTCCAACGCTCCAAAAGGCCCGGTGTCGTCCGCCTTGGAAGGCTTTGCCAAGGGCCAATCACCAGAACTCCTGGCAGGCGGCGATGGGCCGCGAACATGGCGGCGGCCAAGACAACAGGATCGACGTACACCACCACGAAAACTCCAGCGTTCGGAGCTATCATTCATGTTTTTACGGCCAGGCTCTCTCATACCCGCCAAATCGCTTGACGAACTTATGTGACTTCAATAAGGCAATTTCACAAACCCAGCACTCCAGTTTGTAGACTAATGAGGGGCCTTTATCACATCGTGATGGCACAGCGATGCCTGTTTCCTTGGACCCATCGAATTCAACTTTAAGTTTGTACCTCCGCTGACTGCCTGGAAGACTCTGGCTGGTCACTCCAGCCATCAAGCTCTTGAGCTGATCCAAAGCATCGCCGTGCTCCTGCAGCTCACCGCGGTCCGGACCGAAAACGATGTCGGCTGCAGGTTGCTGCAACTCTCGTTGCTATCCACTCTTGCTCACAAATTGTCTGCAGCTGTCACACTTTAAGACACAATGCCTGGCGTGGATCAAAGACCTTTTGTCAAGCTGTCGTGACCAAAACCCAAGATTCCTCACATTCAGCTGGAGGTTTAGTGGCCCGGACCGGACCATGCAAAACTTTGTGAATAAAAAGAGTTGCCAGCAGCTCTACCACTGGGCCTGGCTGGGGCCAACTACCATGGTCACAGATCGGTGCGTCGATATGCGCGCGTCGATGCGCCAGAACATTGGTTGGTCCTTTTCTTAATAGACTTTTGGTAAACTCCTTGCTATTAGTAGCTTCTTGTTACGTTCGTAGCGATGGCCTCCAACCTAATAGCGATGGCCTCCACCGTGCGTAGCATTGTTTCGTCTTCCAAATGCAGCGGTCTTAAGGTTTCGATGTAGTTCAACTGTTCCTCACTCCAATATCTCTAGTGAACTGTGACAGTGTCACCATCATCTCCCTATTCGCCAGAGGCAGAGATATCTCCGGCTCCTCCACTAGCTTGTTCACCTCCTCCATGCGGTGGTCCACGTCTTTCCTGGAGAAATATAGAGCAAACAAACAAAGGAATGAAGCAAAGCAAAGTGGGACACCTGCACATCTCTCATCCAGGCAAATCCATTTGGAGTGGGTTTCAGTCCTTTGCTCTTTGTCGGAGGGGATGGGGCGATTCAGATTTCATGATCGGAATTAGGATCAACTGCCTGCTAATAATCACAGAAAATCACAGAATATCTAGTTTTAACCTGAGACGGCCAAGTGGCTGCGCATCTATCAGATGATGCAGCTGATCCCTCGGGGTCGCGGCAGAAAAGAGAGTTCCAGAACGTCTGAAAGGGGCTGAGGAAACGCCAAGCGGGAGAGTTTCAAAGGAAAAGTTTCAATATAGTTTGGTGCCAGGATCATGATTCACACCGCCAGTCACCCCGAATAGTCATGAGATGAGATTGGGACGGGGAACCTGAAACCAAGCACGCGTTTTTTGCATCACAACACATGCATGTAACGATAGATCTGGAACGCAATAAACGGTAATTAGCAGTTTAAGTCAAACATCTGAGAATCTCCAGCTCCCTGACATCGTTCTGGACGACATCGCGACAAAAAATGAATGTCCAAAGAATCACAGAATGGGAATCTGACATGGTCTGGCAAGTCTCCAGAATGATACCCTTCCCCAGAACCCTCAAATGTACTTCCTGACTAACCATGGAAGTGGAAAACCACCTGTTTGGTATTTGGATGTATTCGGAAAATGGTCATCCAAGACACCAGTTTACACTTCTGTGATTGTTTCGGGGAGTATGAACAGATTTATTGTATAATGGGTTATCCGGGGAGATAACTGTAAATCACTGTTGGCTTTGACTCCCCATCATGGAAACAATCCCCCCTCTAAAAGTACATCTCAACACATAGAACATTTTGCCCAAATCACGCCAATTCACTTTTCAGTTATTGGAACCCCTTGCTGTTCTACGGTGTATCTACGGGTGCAACATTCTAGTTCATCGACAACTATGTTCAAGCCAATTCAGCTCAGGTGCGGGTCCAGCTTCCCAAGGTCATCGGTGGTCCTCACCGGCCGGCCGGGGGAGTTGAGAAAAACATCCGGCAGAGTTTTCGGCAAAGGAGCCATATGGAGCCATTGTCCATGTAAATGAATCTTGTTGCTGTGTCTTGATGCATCACACCATCTTGTCTTCCTTTGCTAGAAATTCAGCCCCTCTAACTCATTGGCAAGTCACTTATCTTAAGGCATCTCAGCATCACTCATCGGGTAAGGCATGTTCACAGGCAGCCTCTATCATCAGCAGCGCATCACCGGACATCCCTCGCTGGGCATCCCTCGCAAGCCATTGACCGCACTCTTCACCTCCTGCTCCCACATGTTCTTCAGCATTGGAGAGCTCTTCTCAGCACGGCCGAGAGCGTCAAAACCGCTTAGTTCCGAGCTACATTGAGGCGTAGGGATGAAGAAGTGGGGACAATAATGGAAAATGAATCGAACGAATATCTTGGCTTTCTTCAGGATACTCGTGGAGTATATCTGAACCACCTGGACTGGTGGTGCACAAATCTACAGGACCCCCCCATCCCACGAAGCGGCCCCCACTGTGATGTAAACCAATGGCATCACATGTTGAAACTTAATTGATCCGGGCTTGAAACTCCCGCAACAATGGTCTCGAACAACAATTTCAACAACAGAAGTTCTGGGAGTCATCCCATCCCCCATCTGAATTAGTTTTGCGATTTGAGCTCTCTACAGGTTGGTCTCTGGCAGAAAGCGTTGATCGACCAATTTCCTCTCCTCTTGATCTGCAATGCTGACTCTCTCATCATCGCCATGGGTATTCTTGTCCTACTACAGTCCTACAGTCCAGTTGGGGCAGCCATATGCTTGCCCAAAGCACATAGTGTAGTCAATTGGGATAAGCACGGCCATAGCAGCCGCAAAAGTCACAACAAACAACGACGAGCGCCAACGTAGGCCACCCAGCACATCGCTACGTACAGTAGTTTACAAACAAGTGTAGAGACTGTGGAAAGGCAGCCGCGCCTGCAAGGCCCGTGCTTAAGGCTGCCAAAGCATCATCCCCAACAGGCCCCAAGGGCATCAGTGATCCGTAGCTCGTAAACACCGGCGAGCGCATTACAAAGGCAGCCAAGAGTGTTGACGCACTTTGGCCCCTCCATTCCGCAACCCGCTCAAAAGTGACCCAAGCCAAGTGGTAGGATGCCAACCACAACGCATAGCCGCATAGCATGCTGACACTGACGAATGCGCCACTAATTAGTAGCGTCCTTGTTACTAGTAGTAAGGCCAGGAGCGCCCCTAGTAGCGTTCCAAAACTGGCATGGAGGCCACGGCTCGACGCACTGCACCGACGAGACGAGCGAACTGTGGCCAAGTACGGCTGTTTGTGCTCTTCTTGCTTTTGCTTGCTTGTGCGCACGCGCAGCCAGAATGCAACCCAGCACATTCTGAAAGAAATACCTAGCAGCATGACTTCGCTTACTACATCTGTGAGAGTCTTTCAGAAGCATGGTGGTCCTGGCTCTGATGTGGTCACGCCAAAGTCGAGATGATCAAACCATAGCGCAAGGGAAACTTGAATTGCACAACCTAGCAGTGCAAAGAAGGCAACTGAGAATGCAGTGATGATCTTGGAGTCACACTGAAATATAGATCTAGCAGTCATGCCAAACAAGCGGCAGCAGGGCAAACAAAAGGATGGTTCAAAAGGCGGCCATCCACACGGGATGAGTTTAGATAACTTTAGTATAGTCAGTCAGGTTCATGTTTTATGTTTTCTCTTTTCCTGAGAACATCTGAGTCCGTTGCTGCCAAATGACGATCACAAGCTCAATGAAGCGTAGTGGTTAGGAAAATATGATTCCTCTACCAGCTGATGGCTGTGCTCAAAATTTTTTAAATCACACTCCGTCAGCACGCTCTGTAGGCATGTGTGGAACAGCACCGATCCAATTCTTGCAATTTTATCTATATGCCATGATAGAGTTGCTGCGAAGGATACTGAGCTATCAGTGTGAAAAGGGCCGTGAAGTGGCGGCTGACTAGCTACCTAATGGTTGATACTGCCTAGCCTCACGAGACAACCAAACAAAATACATCAAACCAAGGCAACATCCTTGGAAGAGCTCGGCACATCCTTTTTTGAAGTGAACTGCGCTGACCGTTGTCATTTTTTGTTAACGCGGGTATAGCAAACTAACTATAAGTACTATAGTAACAACCATGCTTACAATTGCCTGAGAGCTTCGTACCCCTCAGAGTCGCAGCGACTTCGGTCATACGAAGGTCGCCAATCCTCAAACTTTGCTCAGTTGAGGGTGCAGCTCTTTGAGGGGTGAGTTGTGCAGTTCACAAAAGGGGTTGATCAGCTTCACCGATTTGGCAGTTCACGGATTCTTTCGGCAGGGCCACCCCAAATCACGAAAACCAGGCTGGGGGCTCCCACGAAGACCTCTTGCAGCTTCGGATGAAGCTGCTCAAGGAAGGTCTCCTCCAAAGGCTGACCTCCCAAGCAGCAAGCGCGCAACGACAACCAAGAGAATGGTGTGATGCCAGTATGTCCTCAAAAAAGTATCAACATCAAGTCATTCCTGATCTCGCTGCTTGAGATTTGGGAGGCTATTAGGCCAAAGACAACATGAAGAATCAGAGTTACATCCTCACCGTTTGACGTGGAGGTCCCAAAATCATGAAATGTTAAGAATTACTGTAGGACTTCTTTGATTGCCTAGCATTTTGGGACGCTTGTTGTTGATCTACACGAGGAACCTTGCCCATCTGCCCATGGCACCAAATGTAGCTCGAGAGAAATCTGACCTTCAGTTCATTTCAGCTCCATCAGCACCTCTTTGCGTTCCAATCAGAATTTCCACACAAATTCTGCAAGTCCATGAATTCCCTCTGAATATCAGGATTCCACCCCGCAGGCCCCCAACCTGCAGGTACATCTCGATGAAAGAGCTCGTGCGCAATCCCATGACCTTGGGGCTGATTGAAAGTATTCAAGTTCACTATGCCCCGAAAAGTCAGGACTAGCTTCTTGTTACTACTAGCTAATGTAGACTCTTGGTCAATAAAACTCCTCATATGCAGAGGTTTTACAATCCAAACGGGGGGGGTTCGGGGTTTAGGACTCGAATCAAGAGCTACATTATCGGAGGTCGATCTGAATCGAACTGTTCAATCTGAGACAGTTCAAGCCCTGCTCCGCAATGGTTTTGTCAACTGGGAGCCATATGTGGTTCACCCTTGCCGAATCCTCCTCGTTAGGGGCCTTCCTCATGTTGATGTTTATGCTGATCCACCTGCTGCTCTTACATATCTATCATATCTGCTGATCTCATAGGGGTCCTTTCCGGTCTGGGTGGTTTCACCGTTTCACCCAGCATCCCTGGGGCCGTGTCCCCACAAAACGGACGGAAGTGGGCCACCGGTCCTCCAGCGGAGCTCCTGAATTGACAAGAGCGTCTTCATCTATCTTCATCTACTTCCCAAACGATCCATAGAGAACCTCTGACTCGCAGGTCGCCAGTGGAAACTGAATCTGAATCTCTGGGTTTTCTCTGCACTCCAGCACACACTTCACAAGTAAATACAGTAGTTAAACGAGTGTTCAAGCATCATTATTGTCCCATTTTGGTACTCGCTGCTTCCCCTTGTGCATGCTCTTCCTTTCCAACCGGCTCCGTCTAAACAAACCGAGACACCCGCCATCGACGTCGTTGGGTCGGCGCAACGGAGGCGCGTCACAATGTCTCAAGGGCTCCCGCGTCAGATCTATTCGTCTCGGCCGCGTAAACTGTCTCAAAATCTTCGGAAAAGTATGAGCAAAGGGCATCGCTACTAATTAGGAACAAGGTTCGCTACAAGGTTCGCTACTCTTCTCAAAGAACGGATCTCAATCCATTGGATCCCACGATCGGATTTGGCCAGCTGGGCGGCGGGAGAGTTCAGGTTTCATACATCGAGAGATTCATGAGATGTGACAAACAAACAATCCTATAGGAGAACCATGTCCCTGCTTTCGGTCTTTGAAGTGCTTTCCGTATTCCAGCAGCTCGCTTTTACAACACTAATTTCAGGCGTCCCGTCTCTTGCCGTTTGGGGTGTTTGATTGTCTTGTTTGATCGTGATCATTACATTTGCATGTCAAGTGCACTTTGCGCACTTTTGAGCCTGCGATTCGTGGCAGCGACACATTGGCAGTTCCAGGCAATCATCTCCCACTTGCGAATGGGCAAAGGTTTGGCATTGGCAATCTTCAACACACAAAAAGGAAGGTACAGGTACTGTACCTCAACATATCCAAGATCGACCCTTGGGATGCAACAAGCAAATGCTTCACACGAACGTGCGCTCCCAACGGAGCGACCCCTTTGGAACGGGACGACCGTCCCGACCACCGGAGCCGTCTGCCGCAAACGGCCCGTCTCCGACGGCGCTCTGGGAGCACCGGCCTGCAGCTCAGCGAGTTCGGCCTGGCGAATCGGGAGATGTGAAGGAGCACCTACGATGCAAAGCAAGGAACCTGGGAACCCCCAAAATTGGTTTTACGTAGACTAATGATGAAATAGGATGGAATATGATGAAAGACAATTGGTTGATGTCCATCCTGTTGAGAAACATCATGTCTGTGTCCGTGTTGCTTTTGGGATGCAACAACTGGGTGGTGTCCAGCTTCGACTTGCTGCGGCTTGGTTCTCGTGAGGATGCAACGTTTGCCTTCTTACGATGGGGCCTAATGAATATTTATATAAAGATTCTTTGCAATCTTTGCACGACCGTTTATCCATGTTGCAACTGACTATAGGGACTTTGTTGTCCATGTTATCTGCTTCCTCCATTCTATAGGTATCTGTATGAGCCACCAAGGACAGCTCGGAACCACAGCATCTTCCTTCACGCCAAAAAAAAAAAAGAAACATCCCCATATATACACATCCATCAACTAGCAAGGACGGTTCTCTCAGTGGTTTCCTTCCAAAACATCATGGCTCCGGGCTCCGCTGGGCTCCGCCTGCAAGCTCCGCGCCATGGCCTCGGCGGCGCTCCGCCGTGCGCGGCTGGTGACCGCCTCCTCCGAGGCACAGGCGGCCTGACGCGGAGCGGCGCGGAGCGGCGTTCACCGGTGAACGCCCAGTGGATGAGGTCCTAAGAGGTCACGGTGGTGGGAGGATGGATCGATCTCCAGAGTCTGGCATGCTGGCATACATGTGCTTTTGTTGGCTGACAAATTGTTCTCAAACATTGTGTTTTTGTGTCTTTTTTCCCCTGGCGGATTGCTTCTCAAAACCCATATAATGTTTGAACGCAATTTAGATGCATCTCGTCTTAAGTCTTCACCCCGTTTCCTTCGTTTGATCTGCCTCTGCTTCGAAATGCCGGACATTGGCCACGGCACTGCACACCTCGCGGTGGCGCGAGGAAAGTGTCCCTCGGGGACCATGTCTGCGGAGGAGTCATCGAGTCACTGACTCCCAATCAATTGAAGCATGCCCTAAATCGTTTTTTTTAGTTTGGTGAAACTTGAATGAATTGGGCGATTCTGTTTCTTGCTTCTGACTGTGATTCTGACTGAGCTAAAAGCACTAATTGCCGAAATTCCTCAGTAACTAAAGAGCGAGCTGAGGTGACTTCAGTTTTGGGGACATCAAGAACGAAATCTCAGGCCACATCTCATCAGATCTAACCCATCTATGGCAACAAAAGAACACGTGTGTTTGAGTACGTCAATCAGTGAAGAAATCGCTTCAGCAACATGGACAGGCAACCCTGCCTCCGCCTCTGCCTGGCGAATCTCTGCCTTGTTGCGAATCCAAGCATCTTCCTGGTGAATCCCGCACCAGTTCGTTGGACACCCATGAATTGCAGACCGAATCCATCTTGGCAACCAAGCATGGCTGATCAGGAAGCATGTGTTTCATTTGTGTTTTTTCTCTGCATTCACCCTGTGCTACTGTGCTACTTCGGATACCCACATTGGCACTGACACTGACAGGTTACCACATTATTGCGGCATAACTACGTATACGGGTTTGCCCTGCAAAAACACACGAATTGACAACCCGGTGATTCCTTTCTTGAAAAGTCGGTATCGCCTTTTTCCGTCGCCGTCGTCGGTCCTCTTCTTCCACATAGCGCTCACTCGCCTGAGTGCGCGTGCCGCGGGCAAAAACTCGTGCCTTGCCTTGGCTTCAGAGTGGTTTGCAGAAGGTGTGGCAAGGTCTCTTGGGACGTCATCTTGGTTGGGACCAACATGTGGTAGGCATGAATGCTCAATGCTGACACCCTAGTGTATGCTGCTGGGATGCATTCACCAGCCTGCACATATCTCAGCAATCTCAACTGACACCGCTCGCAATCAATGATGGCTTGATTCCAACTCACAAGCTATTGGGACTCTTCGACATCACAAACAAACACCATCTGTCAATTGCAGTCAAATGTGCTGGCCTATGGGCCCATGCGATCCCCAATCACCTTTCTCCACGTCACCAAAGACAAATAGCAGAACAAACCAGCACAACCCACCATCCCAAACCCCGAGAAAAACACTCGCCATACCCGTTGGTTCCGCCTCTTTAGCTCGTTGCAAAGCATTCACACGCAGGCGCAACTCCACCAGTTCTTCCGTGTGCTGTTCTCTCTGCATCTCGAAGGCCTGGTAGGTCACGCTCGGCCGTTTCGTGGGTGTCTCAAACGGGGGGGGCGAGGTGCGTATCTTGGGGAACTCAAGGAACTCATACTGAACGAAAAGATCTAGCAAGATAAGGACTAAAACATATATTTGCAATGACATCAATATGTCTTCTTGCCTGCCCTACAGTAATTGCTCTTGCGGATTTCTCTTGCGGATATGTACATTCAATGGTCCGGCTCTTGAATCTCCAGGGCTGAATCACAAACAGTATTGATTGCTGATATCTGGGCACATATGGGCTAATACCAAACACTCTGTGGAGAAAACCCACGAGGAGCCTCTCGTACTTCGTGACAAAACGATCACAAGTATGGCTAACTGTCATTTCCACATCACCTGCATGGAATTCATAAACATGAGTCTATCTGTGAAAGCTCAGATTTGAGTGACATCATGGGAAAGCTAAGCTTTCTTAAAATTCACTTGCAGGTCACATCCGATGCGGAACGATTGGAACTGAAGAAATCATAGCCGCTATAGATGCGATAGC